GAGAGTGACTGAGTCGCGACTGGATCCAAAAACTTTTAGGCAACGGGTAATGAAAATACGTGCTATTAGAGAACTATGGAAGCGTATCCAAGAAATGCAGCTCCAGAAGTTATTGGCCTGGATGACTGCTTAAGGCTTAGTTACCGATGGCACGATGGCGATTGTGCAGAACAGGGAGTTTCGGGCATTTTTGTTTAGTGTGCATCATGAATCGGCACCACCCGTGGGAGCGGAAGATTACCTGGCAGGTGAAATCCCAATTGCAGTTAAAGTGACTATCGCATTAGCGGTACAGACGGGATCGCTACGGGAAACTCTGGATGTAGCGGTATGGACGGTAGTAAACGCGCGCCGCTTGCCTACCGAGAGCACGCAGTATGGCAACGCGGGGCTGTCGGAAACGCGAGCTCTCGTCACCGATGGCATAGCTGCAGGGCAGGAACTGCGCGGAACAGGTCCTAGGACGGGACTACATCATACAGCATCTATAAACTTTGCGCCACCGCTGGGTTTTGCAGATGACCAAACCGCGATCATGCGAGCACGTGTGGAGCAATGTTCAGTGAGTTTTCCCAGATAGGAGCCATCGTTTTGGTGGCATGCCATGAATTTGTTTTGACCAACGCAAGTTACCGCGATGGCACTTGGGGCACGCAATGGAATAGTCCAGGGTAGCAGATTGGTGCACTAGGCGCGACTAGTGCACCAAAACGACCCACTTCCCAGGCGCGACAGTTCGCTGGTGCGCAAGGATGATGCGAGACCAAAATTAATGTACGGGCCACCCAGAGCGATTGGCCGTGAAGCGAGCGCGAACGCGTAGCAGCAATCGACAATCCTGCGACGAAGGCACGAAAAGTAATGCGTGAAATTGAAGAGTCAGAGGAATCGGAAGCCGGCGAGTCAGATTATAATTCAGCGTGTAATGATGATGAATTTTGGCGAAACGATTTATCGGAGGACGGTACGTAGGAAAATTGGAGGCGCGATGCATCGATGGGTGACCAACGGATGTAGTGATGGCGTTCAAAGCTGGTCGGTGTCTTTTAAAAGAAAGGGCGCACTGACGGTGGAACAATTTCTCGAGCGATTGAACGACGAAGTATATGACGCGCTTTGCCGCAGTACTCAGAGCGAGGGCGAACCGTTGTGCGAATTTCTTATGGCTTTTGTACATATCGCGGGTAAGTTGGAACCGAAACTACCCGAAGCTGTGCAAGTTCATCAGGACGAGGAATACAAGAACGTTGGCAGAGCTTCGCGATTGGAGCGAGAAATTCGAGCGTCGGCGCAATATCAATGATTGCTATCGATCGCCGCAAACGCCGCAGTAATCGCTGATGCCGGAGGTCGCGTACAGGGGAATCGTACCGAATGAGACCGTGAAAATCGGCAGCAGAAACTCGAATTTCGCGGTAAGAGGAGCGGTCGCGTCGGTGCAAGCTGCGAGTAAACAAGAGCAGCAAGAGAAGAAGGCCAAACCAAAAATCAAAGCGAGAAAGAAAAATGAGTGCTCGGGCAGAGGGAGTCCGATACTGCGAGAGAGGTTATCGGACTCATCGTCTACGGAGGTGGTATATGCGTTGTCACAACTACTACGCTCGTAGAATAGTGTGTCAATTGGAGGTACTGGCACTGCAGCGAATGACGCAGCAGGCCGTACTTTTTTTCAGGGCGTATGCCATAAATGCGGGAGGCAAGGGCATCGGAGCGTCGAGTATCCAAGCTCGGACAATGTGCGAATCACGCAGGGAGGACCAGGTGCGTCAGCGGTTGCGGGCGCAAGTGGTAGCGCGGGTTCTGGCTAGGTTGCGAGGCGTAGCCAAGGCGGAGGCCCGGTGCGCTGTTATAACTGCCAGCAGCCGGGTCATTACGCGTATCGGTGTACCTTGGGTGATAGAGGGACGCAGAAGTATCAAGGCTGCCAAAGGGCAGATAGAACACTGGAAACATGTCCTGAGTGTCAGATCTGGATCAAGTTTTTGGAAAACTCCGACGCGGGATCCGGATGCCAGAAGGGTTCCGCTTAGTTTTACAGAGTAGTGCGTCTCATCTGGGTAAGATCGCGTTTATGAGGCTGTTTTATGGCAAACGCGCGGAAGATCGGAAACATACAGCGGCACGACAGGGTGAGCAGCAAAGAAACGTGGACTCGAGCGGCGGGCAAACGATTGCTTCGACACTCTTTGGACGCGCGGCGCGCGGGATCGATTGTTCGAGGATAGATTTCGATTAGGTCGAATTCAACAAGCGGTGGCTGAGACTAAGCGAAACGGTTTCCGAATGCAAACATGTGGAACGCGAGCAAGAGACTGGAGAGAAGCAGGCTGCGCAGAATTCGATGGTGAACCAGGGATACGTCCAGAAGTGTCCGGTGGCTGGGCGTGGGTCGATCGGGGAGGATCTGACGAGAACGTCAGTAACAGACACAGGTAACGAAGGCTCGGGTGCAGCTGCAGAAACCATGCAGTCGTTGAGCGGCACTGGAGAGGACGCGCGTTCCTAGCCTTCGTCGAGGGAGTTTATGGTGCTGAGCGGCGTGGTAGTGATTAGGTCACCGCTAAGTAAGTCCTTGGTAGAACCGTTGGATGGTGCGCAGTATGAACCGAGACGTGATGAGTTGGTGGGTAGGTCGACTAACGAAATGCCGGAGGACGGCGTACACCCCGAGTTCGCGGACCGCATTAAACCATGCGATGTGTCGCTGTTTGATTTTGCATGTGCGAAAACGAAAATCGTGGGAAAACTTCGTCTCAAATAAAGATCGATGGAGTATCGCGGGAAATCGTGACGTGAGTCGTGATGGTACCAATGCAATACAACATGATAATTAGCATGGATATGATTAATGAGTTCGATATCGGCACAGAGCCCAGAAAAGTCACCTCATCAAACGCGGAAGAGCGCTGGCATATAAGAAATGGTCTTGGCATTCGTTTGCGAAACTAAAGCGTTACAGCTAAAGTTGCTGGTCTTTTCGAGCTGCGATCTTCGCAGCGCGATACCATAAAGCAGCTAGTACAGCGAGTGGTACCCGCGAAATCACCTGCGTGTACGCACTTGATTCAGCACGAAATAAATGTGCAGGGTACGCGGCCAGTAAAGATCCCTTTGGTTTAGTCCGGTAGTTGATGAGATAATCACTCCGGACGACCTCTTTCCCCAGCGCTCTTTGCGCGTCACAACGCCAGTGGATCCATCTCCGGCAGAGCGCTGGTTGCCCGTCTGCCTGAGAGCACGACGTGGCGTGCACAGCCAGATGGTTTTCCGTCGGAGTACCTTAAGGAACTTCGACGAGAGGAGGCGGAAGTGAGATACGGCATCTCAAAGAAGTGCCGCCGTAAGAGAAAGATGCCGGACTTTGGGGGCTACGAGCTGGCCTTTCGCAGTATTACACCGGTGACAGACAGCACTTCCATAGAACAAGATCAAACATTGAAGTTATTGGCGCAGTAGCAGCAGGAAGTGCAGCCTGCACCATCGGCTGCAAAATTACCGGTGCAGCGGCAGCATGAACAGCAGCGCATTTCGCCGGCTGCAAAGTCATTGGATCAGGCAAGTACGCTGGATCCGGAACCTGTGCCAGAGGAAGTAACCACTGTGGGCAACGAGGTCGATGGCGCGAGCGATGCGGTGGTGGCTGAGCAACGTTCGGATGAGCGCGAGCCCGGTCAGTCAATTTCGGATGCGATCGAACGACCTACAAGACCGACGAATGTCGAAAAGGGAAAAGACAGATATCGCTTGTTCGCTGACGGAATACGCATGCCTGCTCCAAGAGTGGCAAAAGTGCGTCGCCGTAAGAACCGGGACTCGAGAGCAGCGAAATCTGCAGGAGCGAGTTCACAGCTGCAGCTTCAAAACGCTGATCACCAAGGGTTTGGGCCCTCATATTGACGAAATGTGCGAAACGTGGTATCCGGGAATGCTATCCCGTGAGTGCGATCCTGATCGAATTGGCAAAGCTAATGCTGGCCCAGCGTGACGAGGTGGCAAGGATGGAGTGCCAGGCACGCGAGTTCACCGCCTGAGCTATAAATCACTGCGCGACTCAGGAGAACACGCGCACTTCTAGCTTCTTGTACTCAGCTCATCTTCTCGCGACCTCTGCCGCACTCGCTCCTCTCACTCGACTCTGCTGCTGACGTCCTTCGTTGACTGACTCGCTACTGCCTCACTGTCTGACTCCTTGTCCTTAACTGTCTGACTACTTCTCCCTGACTATTGTTCAACTCTTTCTTCTTTTCACGCTTGACGCTAATCGGTTGCGCGTCTGCCGTGAACTATTGCCCGATACCGCATTAGGCGCATTCTTAAAATGCGCCCAACATCAGTCACTAGGCTAGCCGAAAGTAGAGAAAGGAAAAGGAGCACCGCGCGACAAAACGTCGTCACTTGCTCCCGTCACAGTTGAGAAAGTTGAAAAGTTCTAGAATTTTCTGGATACAGCTATCCTACTTTTAAAAAAACTTCGTAAACTTATAAAGGTAATTAGAGCAAGCTGAAACTATATTTCTAGAAATAATGAAAGATGTGAATAAAAAATTAATTTTTCGCTAAAAATATCATAAATAAATGTTAAATTTAATGTTAGAATTTTTTTAAGAAGAAATCATAATTTCTCGAAAAGTTTGTGATCATAAATTAGAGATTAAATTAGAAACACATTAAATTAAAGGCATTGTGAATATTAATAAGAAGGATTACTCAATTATTGAGATCAGAATATGAACTCGTACCTCATATTTATGTTATCCTATGCATTTTGTTCATAATAACTTAAATTATTTAACAGTATTTATATTAAATTTTAAGTAAATATTTTGAAAAACATTTTTTTATTATTTTTCACCCTAATAAAAAAATTATCGTCAGAAAGATATAAAACTATATCACTGCAAAAAGGTGAATTTATATTAGTTTTATTCAACTTGGACTTGTACTCATTTTTATTCTAGCTAATTATATCATGTTTATTATTTATTATATTTAATACTAACCTCATTATTTTTACTTTTAAATAAACGTTTGACTGATGGAGTTGCGTGTTTTCTTGAACAAGTCACAATAGATTGATTAGGATGAGAAAATTTTCGTTTATGAATATTTCCCAATCGATTATTCAATTTCGAGTCAAATGTCTTTTCATTCTTCGTTAATAGACTAGGAGGAGGCTTCAGATGTGCTTTCAGTTGATCTCTATTAGGCGAGCTTGCGATGACCTAAAAAATATTAATTATTATTGATTATTTACAAAAATAGTAAGCCAAATAAAACCGGTTCCAATAACCCTAGTACTAATAAATATGAATTCGAAACATAGGCGAACATCTACAATTTTTTAATGATATTTGAATAGAGTTATCACTTATGGATGATTAAAAAATTTTTTCCTTAAAAACAAAGTGAACAGATTGCAATTTGCCAATTAACTAATAAAAAAATGACTTATTTCAGTTTTATGCTTCGAAACGTTATGACGTATACATATATATAATATATAAACTGGGTGGGCAATGCCAAGTACAGTATCATACATGACTGATAACAAATTATTCAAATAATAATAAAATATAGTTGTATATATACGGGTGGAAGGATTACAATGTAGCCATTGTAATCCTTCCACCCGAATATTTTTGCCCAGATAAAGTTTAACTAAAAAGTGTCAGACAAAATGTTCTAGACTTAGATCAACTTTTTGTTAAAATATGTGACGGTGTAGGCCGGTCATGGCCTGCACCGTGCGCTTATCTCCCTCTCCTTCATAGGCAAAGGCGCACGGCCGGCATCAAGCGCACGTTTTTACCACGTGCCTGATGCCTGCCCCTTTATTTTTCAGCTACGCACGAGAGCGGTGGAAGGAGAGGCCGTGGACGCGACGACGCGCTCAAGTATTGAGAGTGCGAGAGAGAGAGAGAGAGAGAGAGAAAAGCAATAGTTTGAGTATTGGGCTTGGCGCGCGGCACTTGTCGCGACGGGCATTGCCGCGTGCCGCCGATTAGGCGAGTGGTGGGAGAAAGCGTGAGAAGCCGGCTCGCACGCACTCGAGAGAGTGACGCGACGCGCGCGACAGCAATTAGTCGAGAGTTAGCTGGTGACCATCGCTGCCTGCCCTTCGTCCGGAAGAAGTCAGCATTCCTCAGCAGATCGGCCGGACGGGACTTCCTCTGCCAGCGACGCAGCAGTTGCCCTGCAAGAAGCCGTCACCGGGGCAGAACCCGACAGCCTTTTCTGCCAGGTTGCCGGCCACGCAGCAGCGAGGAGTTTTCCAGACTAGCCGCCGGTGGGACACCTTTAAGGCTGCCAGCAACAGCGACGTCCACCAATTTGGTCAGCTCACCGATTCCTCTCTCTCTATATCTCTGTCTTTCCTCGGCGATTCTCACGGTTCGCGTCGCTACGCCAGGCTTTCCCGAGCCGGCGTAGTTTTCGGCAGTGTGTAAATTCAAGTAATTGTTTGAGCCGGTTAACGAGGTGGCATGGCGCTAACGTGCCGGTCATCTCGTTTAGAATAAGTGCGCGTGTTGTTAATAGTAATAAGTGATTTGTGTTCTCGTCGGCACTCGTGGTAGTGCGTTTATAATAAACGTGTGTTAGCGGACTGTGTGTGTGAAATTCTTTTGCCCGCTGTTCTCCTTCCTGCTTTGTCTGGAGCGACACACCGCCTCCCTTACCTTCCCCCTTTAAATAATTGGTAATAGTGGTGGGTTTATCGGCATTGCACGCCGACGCTATTACATGGCATCCCTTGTGGGGAAGGGCAAAGCGGAAGTGAAACTTGTATTTATTAAAGTCGGCAGTGAGTGAAATTGTGAAAGTGATTCGTCGCGTTCTTTTGTTAGCAAGGGCAAAGCGCATCGAAACGTCGCGTCTTTGTCGAGAAAAAAAAAATAATAGAAAATAGAAAACGCATAAAAATTGAAAGCATTAGTGTATCGGGTTGCGGTGCGGAAAGGTCGCTCGCGCTAACACGTGTTCACCATAGAGAATTCGAGCGCCCGAGTTTGTTTACACTCGAGCGCTGCATTCCTTTGTGATTCTAGGCTAGGCGATAACTTGCCAGCCTAGTTCAGTGAAGGAACAAAATTCTCTTTCGATTTTGGTTTTCCTTTTTTTTCTCAATTAGTTTTTTTTTCTCTTTCGTGCTGTGGCGTGTTTTGTTGTGGAATTCGGCTAGTTGAGGTGTTCATTTACACCCGCGTGACGCATTCCTTTGTGGTCTCGTGCGAGGCGATAACTTGCCAGCATATGACTCAAAGAAGGCGCGGCTAGTTCGGGTTGCTTAGTTTACTCTCATAATTTTTGTTTTGTTTTGGTGTGTTATTGAATTTCTAGCGTGTTAGTTACCGCGTTCCGCGCGTTTGCTTGACTGTTCGTTGCTATTGCATCTGCGCCGTCGAAAGAAAAAGAATTTTTTTTTTAGACAACATGCCGCTCGCGTGCAAGGATCGGCTTGCGATGCGTAGGTTGCTTCGCGATGTCCGCGTTAAGGAAGTCAAGCGCCGCATTGATTCGACGGAGCCAGTTTCCCTACTCGAATTAATGCGTTACCGCGGGCTAGCGTTGCACGGCGACATGGACGAAATTAGGGAGAGGTACTTGCGTTTTACGATTGCGTCGGAGAGGCCAGAACTTGGGTCGCCCTTACAGCCGAGTGATTTTGCGTCGGGTCGCATGCCTGATAGATCGCGCGACGAGCCGATGCATACGGCAATTAATAGCGACGAGAGCGAGAATAGGACGGTCGAATCGGTTAGGATTGCGCCGCCGAAGGCGGCAGAATGGCGATCACCAGGACAGGCGATGCGATCACCTGAACGTGTTGCCGTCCTGCCTGAGCCCATTCGGCCGCCGGGTGACAGGGCTATCACTCCCATACCAGAGGAAGAAGTTTTACCCGCCACCGTCGCCGCTGGTGCGGTGGCACCGGAGGCGGGCGTACGCACATCGACCGCGCCTGAGTTGGAAAGACGCAGCAACGGTACCTTTAGTCAGGTTTGGAACGCGATAACAGCAGTCCCGCGATGGATTTACCGACGGGAAGTGCAGCAAGGTATCACCGATGGTACCAATGTGTTGTACAGGATAGAGAGAGAAGCAGTGCAGGGTGGAACGGATCAGGCTGCGCAACAGGCTCAACGGCCGTTGCAGGCCGATCCGTCGGCCGGCCGCGCGGCGCTTAATGTGCCAGCGGCCGCCGGCCCCGTCTATCAGATTCACCCAGGCGTTCCTCCGTGTGGAGAAATGCCGGTGAATCAGACATTCTTTCCAAACAGCTCTCTCGAAACTATTTATAAATCGCCCCCGCAACCTGACACTGAGACGTGGATTCGTGAATGGGAAAGGGCCGTACGCGCACCCTGTAGTGAATACACGCGCGCATCAGGTTTAGACAAAGTAGGCTCGGGCTCGGAGTCTAGAGCTTCCACGAGAGTGTCAAAGAGCAGGCCGGTCAAGGCGAAAACAAAAATTTTGCCGGACCATGGCAGCACGGTTGACCTCTCGAGCTCCTCCGAGTCAGAGATCGGAGACCGCAAGGAAAGCGTATCGCAGCATAGCGACAGGCCGATTAAAACTAAAACTAGAGAAAAGAGCCCGAAACGCGTTAAGTATATCAATGGCGTGCCGGCCGATGGTGTTAGTGCGCTGACCGCATGGTCGCTTCGTTTCTCTGGCAACGATGACATGAGCGCGATGAGCTATTTGTCAGGACTAGAGGATTGTCAGCGCTATTACGGTATTTCGGACGAAGAAATGCTAAATGCTATTGGCACTACCTTCCGGGGTAAGGCGCGTTCATGGTACGAACTTAACCGTAAACAGTGGGCAAGTTTCTTAGGATTTAGAAAGAGTTTTTCGGCTAACTTCTGTCGCCGGCTTACTCGCGAACAGCTGTACCGAGAGCTGAGACAGAGATCGCAAGGAGAGCGCGAGCGTATATCGGATTATGTAGCTGCTTTTCAATCAATTTTAAGACGCTTCGACCCTCCGGTAACCGATAGGAGACAAGTAGCTATCATTGTGGAAGGGCTACACCCGCAGTACAAGCGTTTTCTAGAGACTAAAAGCTTTAAAAATTTAAGTCAATTCAAGGAAGCAGGGTTAGATCTAGAAGACCGCATGGCGGGCTGGAAAAGGTGGCAGCGACCACCTAGTGCAGACGTTACGCTCGTGCCGGAATCTGCTTATACCGAGCCTAAGAAGCTAGCTGGAAAAAAGTCAGTCGCGGCGGTAGAACAGGTCGCGGGCGAATCAGAAGAGGTTTTAGCAGTAGAACCGGCTAAAGATACGCGCGCTAGTAGAAGAAAAACGAAGGTCAAGGGCAAAGGGCCGAAGAGCGAAGTTGCCGCGGCTAATGCCCAAGGCACGAAGCCGCAGGCGACGAATCGCTCTTCGCAGCAGGCTGCGCAACCGAATGTTGCAGCGCAACCGAATGTTGCAGCTCAGCAGAACGTTGCGGCGCAGCCGCCGGCCACCCAGGTGCCGATGTTCTCCGCGCCGAGTTTGATTCCACAACAGCGTGGACAAGCTAATGGCGCTCAAACAGGTGCCGCGAGAGGACAACGTCCCTTTGCTGGCGCGTGTTTCGCGTGTGGTTTGGTTGGCCATCAGAGGTCTCAGGGCCCGGCCGCGCAGAATGCGCAGCCGATTGTTTGTTATAAGTGCCGACAACCTGGGCACTATGCAAACAATTGTTCACTGAGACCGACGGAGGCCAAACCGGAATGTCAGGTCTGTGGAACCGTTGGTTTTGTCTTCCGAAACTGCCCAACTTGTAGTCAAGTAAGACAGGGAAACTCGGGTGCGGGAGCCGCCGACCGCTCAGCGACTCCTGCTTAAAGCAAATCGAACGGGCGGTATGGATAAACGAGCTACTAAAAAGGAAGAGTAACTCGGTTGTTGCGTCGGAAATGAGGAATTCCGATCGCGTTGTTAATGAAAGGTTAGTAGTAGAGTCGGATACAAACGAAAGAAAGCATGTCGTTTGCAGGCCGGTACTATTGGATGTAGGTGAGAGGTTAAAATCGGATACAATCGAAAGAAAGCAAGTCGTTTGTAGGCCGGGTAGTGAGGTCGTTCACGATGTAGCTGACGAGAAGCTGGAGAAACCAGATCTCGTAGTTAAAGGAGAGTCTATTTCCTCGGCGTTGGACGGGCCCCTAAAGCCAGAGAACCAAAAATCGAGCATTTCGCGCGGCGGAAAAGCCTCGATTCAACG